TTCTTTGTTTTTCTTTGTCTGCCTTCTGATTTGTATCTTAAATAGGTAATTTCAAAGTCCATAATTTAATTTGCTCTCCTTTTGTCTCTCTTCGCTCATAATTCCATAATATATAGAAGAGCGGGAGAAACGGGTCGAGGTCGACATGTGTGCTTGCTACTAAAGGGTATTCTGGTCATTTCATATTACTCCTAAAATTTGCTGAAAGTTAACGCGTGTTGAATCAACTTGACAGATGGTGCAAATACAAGAAGTCTGCGGTACTTCAGTATGACAGATAGGTCACACTCTATCTCTATATGTTCATCTTCTTTGTTTTTCTTTGTTTGCCTTCTGATTTGTATCTTTCAGAGAAGAATTAAATAGGTAATTTTAAAGTCCGGAATTGAATTTGCTCTGCTTTTGTCTCTCTTCGCTCAGAATTCCATAACCCTCTTCTTCGCTGTAAGAAAAGAATTGGAGTTTGACTTGGATTTTTGTAGTTCATTAGTTGCTAAATTGACAGAATCACATGGTTGAGGGTCACCGCTGATCTTCGCTCATAATTCCTTTGGCCTCTGCTTCTTCGTTGTAACAGAAAATTAGGGTTTTGCTTGGATTTTTGCAGTTCAGTAGTTGCTCAATTGACATAATCACATGGCTGAAAGGTTAGTTTATTATTCTATCTTTTTCATTATATGCGACAGTGATTGTTTTATTTTTGGGTTCTTGCTGATTTGTTGCTCGAAATTAAATTGTAATTTTATGTTAATTTTGTGAAATTCAAAAATACCTTGAAAAGAAATTGGGATTTCCGTCGACTACCTAACTATTCTCCATGTTTGTTTATGTTTGAAGGTTTTTTGTATTTTGACCAAGAGTTATAAATTGGGGATTTAGAATGGATGAATGTTACTTTCTTGGATTTAAGCTACAATTTTAGTCTGCTACTGATGTATTTTATTTTGTTGATTTATTTCATTTTGTTATTATGAGTTGACATGAAAAAAGTGAGTTAGTTCTTAATTATTTAAAATTTCTGTACATGACTTCTTACTTTTGAGCTCAGTGATTAGTAGCTTATATATACAAATTCGATAGAACTTTGGTGTTTTTGGATTTGTATGGTCCGGTAAATGCATATTTATAATTTTTAACATTCTTTCCTAAGAAATCAAAATTCTCTCCCCTACCCAACATTTAGGAAAAATTTGCTTAAGAACTTGGAAGTCTATGAGCCGTGATGTTTCTGCTCATTCTCTTCTAGGATGTTTCAGCTATAACTGTCGTATTTATTCCAAATATTTTAAAAGTGGAATAAACCAAGATACAGAAGTCCCACTGTTTTTCTGCAGATTGTAGCCATATCTGTTGGGAATACTGAGATCATAAGAACAAAGGATACATCAGGAATTGTTGTCACCTTTTTATTGCATACTTGAACTTGGAAGCATAGATATATTTAAACAACTTGACTTTGGGTGACCAAAAAAAGATTTTGAATATGCTATTTCGAAAGTGGTTATCAAAGTATTCAATCTCCATGTGAAATTAAATATAACTACATGTGGATCTCGGTGAGTAATCATATAAATATAATTTGAATGGGCAACATGTAGCTTATCTTATAACACTATATATTTGGCATGTAAAGAAGAAAAGAGGATACTTTATAGCTATTCACCAAAACAAGTATAACTAATTATATCATTGTTCATTTTTCAAGCCATCACTAAAACATTGAATCTATCTATCTATGTGTAATATCCAATAATTTTAAACAAGGATATATAAGTTATTTAGCAACTAATTAAGTCAGAAAAAAAAAGTGATACAAGCACAAAAAGGGGCCGAAGCCTGTTCTCTAACCAAAAAGGCAAAAAGAACGAAAAAGGGATTTAGGGGAAGGGAAAACTCACGGCAACAAGACAACAAAAGAGAAAAAGGGAGCTTTGAGTGCAAACGAGTTCCATCGTAGGGGAGATTGCCGGAAGCAATACTATAAGGGAAAAATTTAAGCTTCTGGCAGTAAGAGACACAATCAAATGGAGGAGAATTGAACATATATAACAGCTTTCAGTAGACGTATTCTTCGACATAAAGAGGTTAATTTTTCCCTTTATTTGATTTTGCTTCTATTTCTGGTGGAATTCTTTATATCTCAATTCATCTTATGGTATTTCGATCGGATATTGCAAATATATATATTATGACAACAAAACTACTTAAGGTTTAATTTAGAGACGCGGTTGTGGAAATTAAATAGTACAGTAAATTATGTGAATGCCGTTTATTTAGAAGATTTTTGAATTGGTTTAAGTTAACTGTAGCAATGAGTTGAGATACTAAAACGGGTCTTGATATTTCAAGTTGAATAAGAGGGATTTGTTGAGTTATTATAATTCGGTGAATTAAGAGCCAAATATGAAACTCTAAGGATTTGGGTATTCTAAATTAGCTATGAATTAGCCTAAGAAATTAACATGAGATCGATATTATGTAATTATGGATTGATTGGAGGAAGTTGTACGAATTGTTCGAGGTGAAGCATTTGGTATTTCGGCACGAGTACTATGAGTAGTAATCTTACCGCAATTTGTATTTTTATAACTTGCATGATTTACACATGATTTTTAATATGAATATGTTACCAATTATTTTAAGTTGCATGTGGGACAAGTCTTTTACTCGATATGATATCGAAATAGTTATTTGAGATGATTACCGTTATTTTATGTATTCTTGTTATCACTAGACATGTTTTACCATTACTTGAATTTACTGTTATCGAAATAAAATTACATGATTTGATAAGAACCGAAATGCCCTATATTGTTATAAAATATTTTCTTATGAGTATATACGGATTACAAAGATAAGTATAAATGAGAGTAGACTTTGAAGGATATCGTAGCTAACGGCGGGTTCGTTAGACCCGGTGCACCTTGTAATTACCGATTATCATTACAGCCCTCACTAGTGAGAAGGTAGAACTAGCATACCGTTACCGATTTTTCTCGAGTAGGGACTACCGTTATATTTGACTTCTTGTGAAGAAGTCCACAGTTATACCGGTTACATGATCCATTCATTGAAACCTCCAAAACATGAATACTGATATTACACAGTATTTACCGAGCTTATTACTGAATTGTCAATTGATTTATATTACATGAAAAACATGATGAGACCGATTATTGTTTATTGTTTCTGAAAGGGCATTTTTATGATATTTTCTGTTTAATATACTAGCATGTGTTTCTGACTTGTCCCCAATAAAAACGGTTGTGGTTAAGTGTTATTGCTCACTGAGCTAGCGACTCACTCCCCGCTAAAATTTTTTACAGAGACAGCAGTTGACACGGTCGAGGATTTCGTTAATTAAAGCGCACATGTTGATAGTTCTTGGTGAGCCTCGCACTTGTTCACGTGGGCAGAGATTATATTTATTTTATGATCTTTTCTTTGAACTGTTAGAGTCGCTCCATAGTCATTCTTTTAGTGTTATGAGTATTCTTTGTTATTATAGATTTATGTTGAGAATCACTCTTTATTATAAAAGTTGGAGATAAATTAGTATTTCTAACTGTTAGTTGGTGGACTATTAATGGTAGATATTTGTTTGGGTTAATTGATAAAGTTATTGTTGTATGGATTGATATTAGGATGGTTGGTTGTTGATTTGAGACAGAGAAATTTTTGGATAGTCCCAAAAATAGGGGAAACTCTGTCAGTTTTTTCTGTAAAATATCGGTAAGGCTTACTTAGGGGCACTTGCTCCTAAGTGTCGGTCATGATCCTAAATTGGGTCGTGACAAAGTTGGTATCAGAGCTTAGGCTTTAAGTCCCGAATCATGAAGTAATGTTTAGTAGAGTCTTGTTCATGGGTATGTAGGCGCCCATACTTATGATCTTGAGGCTACTGAACATCTAGTAATGTTTTCCCTTATTTCATTCTTTGATCGTACGTTGAGATAACTTGAGATTAACTTTGGAGTATTTCTTTCGCAGATGGCTAGGACGCGCACACCCTCATTTGCTAGACGTGGTGCTGGACGTGGTACTACCCGTGGTGGTGGTCAAGTTGGGGTTCATCAAACTAGAAGACATGCTGCTCCTCAACCTGAAGTTGAGAACATGGGTCAACCCCAAGCTACTATGCCAGATCAAGTACAAGAACAGGGGGTTCAGGATGCTCTATCACCAGTGCCAACATTGTACCTGTTGTTGCCTTACCTGCCGGCGCAGTGGCAAGGTTATTGAATGTGTTAGAGGCATTGGTGCCTACTCAGGGTGAAAGTTTAATTCCTCAGGCTACTTTACAGACACAAACACCTGCACAGACTCAGACTTTCGGGAATAAGGAAGTATCCCTACAAAAGTTCCTGAAATTGAAATCACCAAAATTCACAGGTTCTGATAATTCAGCAGATCCTCAAAGTTTATTGGATGGGACACTCAAGGCATTACATGCTCTAGGATGTTCTAGTGAGAGAGCCGTGGAGCTCGCAACATACAAACTAGAGGATATGGCCAATACATGATATGAAACTGTATTGCTAGGAAGGCCAGCAGGAGCAATACCACTGACATGGGACGAATTCACTATGTTGTTCATGAATCATTTTCTTCCAGACAACCTGATGCAAAAATATGCTAGAGACTTTGAGAGATTGGTTCAGACTCCAGATTTGGATATGTCAACATATAACACCAAGTTTTGTAAGCTTGATAGATATGCTCCTTACCTAGTGCCTACCGAAGAAGCTTGAGTTCAGAGGTTTGTTGATGGATTGGTTGGTCATCTATACACTGCAGTAGCCCCACAGATGAAGACTTTATCCTACTCTGATGCAGCCGACCTTGCTAGAAAAATTGAAATCAAGGGACGTGATGAGCATGCAGCTAGTGACTTACGTAAGAAGGCCAAGACATGAGGGTTTTTTAGTGGCGGTTTTAGTGAAAATCGAAGAGCAGGAAATCAGGGATAACAATAACAGGGTTCTCAGACAGGGATACACATGTCATCACAGTCCACATACATACCACATTACAGACAGGGTAATAGGGAACCATCATATTCTAGACATCGTAATTCTGGGCAGATATATGTCACTACTCCAGTTTGCCAGACCTGTGGTAGATCACATTTGGACCAATGTCGTGTTCTAACTGGAGATTGCTTTCGGTGTGGCCAGTTAGGACATCACTTGAGGGATTGCCCTCAGCCTCCGAGGAATTTCAACCAGGCTTATATTCAGTCAGCTACACTTACTCAGACTACTCGTAATACTTCAGGTGCTAGATATACAGGAAATAGAGGTCGAGGTGCTGGAGACCATGTTACTGTAAATCAAGGACAAGGAAATGCTGGTAGTGGTCAGGTGAGAGTTTTTGCATTTACTAGACAGGATGCTCAGGCCTCGAATGTTGTGGTCACATTTATTCTTTCTGTCTGTTCATTTGATGCGTTTGCATTGATTGATCCGGGATCTACTCACTCTTATGTGTCCTCGTACTTTGCTTTGAGGTTTGGTAGACAACCCGAGCTATTGAATGATCCTTTTCTATTTGCTACTCCTGTTGGATAGTCTCTATTAGTTGAATATGTGTATCGTGCTTGTCAGATTCGGGTTGAGGGTAGAAATACTTTAGATAACCTTATTGTACTTGATATGATTGACTTTGACATATTGATGGGAGTGGATTGGTTATCTTCTTGCTGTGCTATAGTCGATTGTCATGCAAAGATAGTTAAGTTTGAGTACCAAATGAACCCAGTTTTATTTTAAGAAGGAGCCAGATTCTAGAGATTTGTAAAGTTGTATCTTTTATGAAAGCTCAACGACTTCTGAAGAAAGGTTTCTTGGGTCTCTTAGCTATTGTAAATGACACAAGAAAGGAAACAGTTAGTATAGAAAATGTACCAGTAGTGAGAGAATTTTCTGATGTATTTCTTGAGGATTTACCAGGATTGCCTCCAGTACGAGAAATAGATTTTGGTATTGATTTTCCACCTGACACACAGCCCATATCAATACCCCCATATCGGATGGCACCAGCAGAGTTGAGGGAGCTAAAGCAACAGTTGCAGGATTTGCTAGATAAGGGTTTTATCAGACCTAGTGTATCACCATAGGGTGCACTAGTGCTGTTCGTAAAGAAGAAAGACGGATCCGTGAGAATGTGCATTGACTACATGCAGTTGAACAAGATAACAATAAATATCATTTGCCTCGTATAGATGACATATTTGATCAGCTATAAGGAGCTGCCCACTTTTCAAAGATTGACCTCCGTTCTGGTTATCATCAACTTGGAATCAAAGATGAAGATATTTCTAAGACTGCTTTCAGAACTCGATACGGGCACTATGAGTTTCTTGTGATGCCTTTCGGACTGACTAATGCTCCAGCTGCATTCATGGATTTAATGAATAGGGTGTTCAGGTCGTTTCTAGATAGATTTGTCATAGTATTTATTGATGATATCCTAATATATTCTCGTAACCAAGGAGAACACGAGAATCATCTTAGGACTGTGTTGTAAACATTGCAAGAACATCGACTTTATGCTAAGTTCTCAAAGTGTGAATTTTGGCTAGACTCAGTATCATTTCTGGGGCATGTTGTATCCAAAGATGGAATTATGGTAGATCCTAAGAAGACTGAAGTTGTGCAGAAATGGCCCAGACCTACTTCTCCTACAGAGATTCGCAGCTTTTTAGGCTTAGCAGGCTATTACAGGCGTTTTGTATATGATTTCTCCAAAATAGCAGTGCCACTAACTAAGCTAACACAAAAAAATACAAAGTTTCAATGGACGGAGGAATGTGAGTAGAGCTTTCAAAAACTCAAAACATGTTTGATAACTGCACCAATATTAGCCTTACCATCAGGTTCCAGAGGATTTATAGTGTTCTGTGACTCATCGAGGGTGGGATTAGGATGTGTTCTCATGCAAAATGGTTGCGTTATAGCTTATGCTTCGAGACAATTGAAAAAGCACGAGCAAAACTACCCTACACATGATTTGGAGATTGGCTGCAGTGGTATTTGCTCTAAAAATTTGGAGGCATTATCTATGCGGCGAAACTTGTGAAATTTATACTGACCATAAAAGTCTGAAGTATATCTTTCAGCAGAGAGATCTGAATCTTCGGCAGCGTCGGTGAATGGAACTACTCAAAAACTATGATTGTTCTATTTTGTATCATCATGAAAAAGCCAATGTGGTGGCTGGTGCATTGAGCAGAAAATCTATGGGGAGTTTGGCACATATAGCTCCTGCAAAGAGACTTTTGGCCAAAGATATTCAAAGACTAGAAGATACAGGTATCAGATTTAGTGTCGGAAATTCAGAGGCATTGTTGGCTTGTGCTCAAGCTAAGTCTTCATTAGTTGAGCGCATTAAGGCCATCCAATATGAGGATGAGCGATTATGCAATTACAGAGATGAGGCCTTAGCTGGTAAAAGCAAGGATATGATTGTTGAAAGTGATGGTGTGCTTCGAATGGGTGACATGCTATGTGTAGCAGACGTAGATGGGTTGAGACATGCTATTCTTGAAGAAGCCCACAACTCTAAATACACTATACATCTTGAATCCACAAAAATGTTCCATGACCTGAAGCGATTTTATTGGTGGGAAGGTATGAAGAAAGATGTTGCTAACTTTATTTCTAGTTTTTTGACTTGTCAGTAGGTCAAGGCTGAGCATCAGCGACCCGCGGGACTATTACAACAAATTGAGATTCCAGAGTGAAAATGGGAAAGAATTACTATGAATTTTGTCACCGGTCTACCATGAACCCTTAGAGGTTATGACTTGGTATGAGTGATTGTAGATCGACTGACGAAATCAACACACTTTTTGCCAGTGAAGACTACATATGGTGGAGTGAGGTATGCACATATATTTATGAATGAAATTGTCCGACTTCACAGAGTTCCAATATCCATCATCTTTGATAGAGGATCACAATTTACCTAACACTTTTGGAAATCTTTTCAAGAAGCATTGGGTACACGAGTAGATCTTAGTACTGCATTTCACCCACATACATACGGGCAGTCTGAACGTACTATACAGATCTTGGAGGATATGTTGAGAGCTTGTATTCTTGAGTTTGGAGGTAGTTGGGACGTTTATCTACCTTTAACTGAATTTACTTACAACAATAGCTTCTAGTCCAGTATTCAAATGGCACCGTACAAAGTATTGTATGGTAGAAGGTGTCATTATCCTATCGGATGGTTTGAAGCTGGTGAGACTAACTTATTGGGACCCGACTTAGTACAAAAAGCTATGGACAAGGTCGAGTTAATCAGACAGAGATTGCTTACAGCTCAAAAGCAGACAAAAATCTTGTGCGGATAAGAGAAAAAGAGACTTAGTGTTCGCAACCGGAGACAAAGTATTCCTACGAGTCTCTCCTATGAAAGGTGTGATGCGATTTGGGAAAAGAGGCCAGTTGAGCCCAGATTTATAGGACCGTATGAGATACTAGACCGAATGGGAGTTGTGGCTTATCGTTTGGCACTTCCTCTTGAGTTGTCTTTTATTCATTTAGTACTTCATGTCTCTATGCTTAGAAAATGTATATCGGACTCCTCTCATGTCCTTGAAGCACCGACTATACCACTTGATGAGAAGTTGTCTTACGAGGAGGAGCCGATGGCAATTGTTGATAGACAAGTAAGAAAGCTAAGGTCAAAGAAAATTGTGTTCGTGAAAGTCATATGGAGAAACCATACAGTTAAAGAAGCTACACGGGAAGTGGAAGATGCTATGCGAGTCAAGTATCCTCATTTATTCCAGTCTACAGGTATGTAATTGAGTTAAATTCGGGGACCGAATTTATACAAGGTGAGGAGGATGTAATATCCAATAATTTTAAACAAGTATATATAAGTCATTTAGCAACTAATTAAGTCAAAAAAAAGAAAAAAAGAAAAGGGATGCAAGCACAAAAAGGGGCCGAAGCCCATGCTCTGTCCAAAAAGGCAAAAAGAAAGAAAAAGGGATTTAGGGGAAGGGAAAACTCTCGGCAGCAAGACAACAAAAGAGAAAAAAAGGGCTTTGAGTGCAAACGAGTTCCATCGCAGGGGAGATTGCCGGAAGCAATACTATCAAAGGGGGGAGAATTGAACATATATTAGAGCTTTCAATAGAAGTATTTTTCAACATAAAGAGGTTAATTTTTCCCTTTATTTGATTTTGCTTCAATTTCTGGNATATTATGACAGCAACACTATTTAAGGTTTAATTTAGAGACGCGGTTGTGGAAATTAAATAGTACAGTAAACTATATGAATGCCGTTTATTTAGAAATTTTTTGAATTGGTTTAAGTTAACTGTAGCAGTGAGTTGGGATACTGAAACGGGTCTTGATATTTCAAGTAGATTAAGAGGGATTTGTTGAGTTATTATAATTTGGTGAATTAAGATCCAAATATGAAACTCTAAGGATTTGGGTATTCTAAATTAGCTATGAATTAGCCTAAAAAATTAACATGAGATCGATATTATGTAATTATGGATTGATTGGAGGAAGTTGTACGAATTGCTCGAGGTGAAGCATTTGGTATTTCGGCACGAGTACTATGAGTAGTAATCTTACCGCAATTTGTGTTTTTATAACTTGCATGATTTACACATGATTTTTAATATGAATATGTTACCGATTATTTTAAGTTGCATGTGGGACAAGTCTTTTACTCGATATGATACCGAAATAGTTATTTGAGATAATTACCGTTGTTTTAAGTATTCTTGTTATCACTAGACATGTTTTACCATTACTTGAATTTACTGTTATCGAAATGAAATTACATGATTTGATAAGAACCGAAATGCCTTATATTATTTTAAAATATTTTCTTATGAGTATATACGGATTACAGAGACAAGTATAAATGGGAGTATACTTTGAAGGATCCCGTAGCTAACGGCGAGTTCGTTAGACCCGGTGTACCTTGTAATTACCGATTACCATTACAGCCCTCGCTAGTGGGAAGGTAGAACTAGCATACCGTTACCGATTTTCCTCGAGTAGGGACTACCGTTATATTTGACTTATTGCGAAGAAATCCATAGTTATACCGGTTACATGATCCATTCATTGAAACCTCTCAAACATGAATATTGATATTACACAGTATTTACCGAGCTTATTATCGAATTGTCAATTGATTTATATTACATGAAAAATATGATGAGACTAACTATTGTTTATTATTTCTGAAAGGGCATTTTTATGATATTTTCTGTTTAATATACTAGCATGTTTTCTGACTTGTCCCCAATAAAAACAGTTGTGGTTAAGTGTTATTGCTCACTAAGCTAGCGACTCACTCCCCGCTAAATGTTTTTATAGAGACAACAGTTGACGCGGGCGAGGATTTCGTTAATTAGAGCGCACATGTTGATAGTTCTTGGTGAGCCTCACATTTATTCGCGTGGGCGGAGATTTTATTTATTTTATGGTCTTTTCTTTAAACTCTTAAAGTCGCTCCATAGTCATTCTTTTAGTGTCATGAGTATTCTTTGGTTACTATAAACTTATGTTGAGCATCGCTCTTTATTATC